TCCTTCTGCCTCAGCCTTCCAAGTAGCTGGAACCACAGGCATGTGCCACCACACCTGGCTGACTTTTTGATTGATTGTAGACATAAGGTCCCACCAAGTTGCCCAGACCACTCTCAAGCCCCCGGGTTCAAGCAATCCCCTTGCCTCCACCTCTCAAAATGCTAGAATGATGGGTGTGAGCCACTGCACCCGGCCTTACAGTGGGCATTTCTTAACCCAGGAATATGTCAGGCTGTCATGGGCAGGGTGCTCTGAGACGGAGATTTGTCACAGGAGGTCTGTCAGGAAGAGCCTTGGGGAACAGCAGCTGTGGAGGCGAGGGAAACAGGGCTGGGCAGGGGGAAGCTGAACTGCAATTCACTTGCAGGGGAGCCTCAGCCTGTCCCAAGAGCTCTGGAGCTGGGACACCCCCTTGTTGTTCCAACTGAGGCAAAGGACTGGGTATTTATACCTCCATGTGGATGAGTTATTAGACTTAGGTGAGGCAGCTTTCTTCCAGAGAGAGCAATTCCTAGGGAGACTCAGCCAATAGCCCATCAGCCACCAAGGCTGCCACAGCTGGTGGAGGGGAGGGCAAGCCCCTCGGTCCTGAAGGGAGGATGTGGACAGCCCAGCATCACATCCCACAGGAAGTGCAGAGGGTGCAGGATCTCCGCCTTTGGATGCCAAGCTCACGTAATAACCATGATGCCAGGCCATGAACGATAGAATCCCTAGGAAGGCCTTGATGCCATGTTGAGGGCACTCAGAATTGCCAAGCTTCCTGGAGGTTTCAAGGTGGAGTTGGCATGGACGTGGACCTAGTAGGGCAGTTCAGTTTCCTGAGCTGGGTGAGTTCACCCTGCCTCTCTTGGGATTTTTGCCGGGCTTGACCTGTTCAGCACTGAGGACAGCTCCTGGGTGCGGCCCTCCTGGCCCACCACCCCCTTGGGCGTGGGGTGATGGCCCCATCTCACTCGAGGTGCTAGGCCTGGAGTAGGCACACGTGGTGAAGTCCCTCAGTGTACTCTGCCCAGAAGGCACCCCTGGAAGGAGGGGCAGCCCGTGGACCAGGGCGAGGTCGGTGACGGTATCCTCAGGAGTGTGAGAGCCACCCCTCACTGAGTGAGGTACCCGTGCCCGCTGCCTTGGCCTGGGCTTCCTTGCCAGGTCTCCTGCACCTTAACTGATCTGAAACTGAGAGGTGAAGGGAAAACAGAAGTTGGCCCGGAGTGCTTGGACAGAAATGCAGAAGCTAAAACCAAATGTAGAACAGAAAGCCTGAGACTCAGCTACTCCCATGAGCTCAGACCCAGAGGTGGGGAAGCCAGGCATCAGAGCAACAGGGAGGCCTGGGGGCAGCAGCCCCGCTCTGAGGCCAAGGGCTCTCTCTGCCGCAAAACTGCTGCTGCTTTGGCTCTATGGACCTGTTTCTCCCTTATTCAAGCTGGCAGGGCGGGTTAGGGTGAAGGCCAACCCGTCTGCCTGACTTGACTCCACCTCTGCCACTTCCAAGTTGCAAGTTACTCGTCCTTTCTGTGCCTCAGTTTCCTTAGCTGCAAAATGGGGAGAATGAAAACCTTTCTCATCAGTTCAGAAGTTGTACCTTTTGGACGCCCCGTTTCCCAGCTTGTCTTTCCTATAGGGATGCCTACCCCATGCTATAATCACAAGCCTTTCCAGGCCAGGAGGAATGAGCACAGCCCGAATTGCAGGATAGATCCAGGGAGGGTGGCTTCTGTTAGCTAAAGAATAGAACTAAGCCGGGCTCGGTGGCTCAGCCTGTCATCCTGCGCCTTTGGAGGCTGAGGTGAGTGGATTGCCTGAGCCCGCGGGTTCGAGACCCGCCTGGGCAGGCGAGACCTCATCTCTACAATAAATCAAAAAATCAGCCGGGCGTGGTAGCGCACACCTGTAATTCCGGATACTCGGAAGGCTGAGGCGGAAGGATCGCCGGAGCCCAGCAGGTCGAGGCTGCAGTGGCCGGAAGCAGCCACTGTACTCCAGTCTGGGCGACAGAGTGAGACGCTAACTCAAAAATAAAAAATTAAAAATAAGTCAGCCAGGCGTGTTAGCGCATGCCTGTAATTCCAGCTACTCGGAAGGCTGAGGCGGAAGGATCGCTGGAGCCCAGCAGGTCGAGGCTGCGGTGGCCGGGAGCGGCCACTGCATTCCAGTCTGGGTGACAGAGACTCCAACTCAAAAAAAATAAAAAATTAAAATTAAAAATAAAAAAAAGAAGTAAATGGGACAGACACAGCCTAGTTGGGATATGAATGTTAAGCTTGTAAAGCCCTAGCCATGCAAAAGTTGCAGCTGAACAAAGGCCCCGGGTGGGGTGCACCACACTAGGAAGAAATGAAACAGGTCTAAGCCAGGTGCAGTGGCTCTCGCCTGTAATCCCAGCACTTTGGGAGGCTCAGGTGAGAGGATTGCCTGAGCCCATGGGTTTGAGACCAGCCTGGGCAATTTGGCAAGACCTGTCTCTACAATAAATCACAAAATTAGCTGGGCGTGGTGGCACATGCCTGTAGTTCCAGCTACTTGGAAGGCTGAGATGGAAGGATCGGCTGAGCCCAGCAGGTCGAGGCTGGTAGCCATGAGCGTGCGACTGCATTCCAGCCTGGGTGGCAGAGTGAGACTCCTACTCAAAGAAAAAAAAATAGCTGGGTGTGGTGACACGCGCCTGTAGTTCCAGCTACTTGGAAGGCTGAGGCAGCAGGATCACGGTTGGGGCTGCGGTGGCTATGAGCATGCCACTGCACTCCAGCCTAGGTGACAGAGTGAGACTTCAACTCTAAATAAATAAATAAAATAGAGTCTAGATGTCAGAAGTGGCTTCCTGGAGGAGGTAAGACCTGAAGACTTGCTGTTTGAGCTGAAAGCAGAAGGAAGACGAGGTGCAAACTAGACTTAAGGCAGAGTAGCAGCATGCGCAAAGGCTGACTTGAAGAAGGAGGGTGTTGTGTGGGTGGTGCGGCCCTGCCAGCAACTGTGAGGAGTTACCATGTTGTTACTCCAAAGAGGGCTTCTCAGCAGGGGAGGGAGGGAGATGATCCCAACGGATGGGGGCTGTGGTGGTTGGGAGTTGCTCAGGACAGGACCTGGAGCAAAAACAGCATGTCTTCCCTGCCCAGACAGTGATCATAGGCTCCTACCTGATTGCCCACGGTTTCTTCAGTGTCTACGGCATGTGCGTGGACACACTGTTTCTCTGCTTCTGTGAGTGACCCCTCACCCCAGCCCTTGCCAGGCCCTGAGTCCCTTCCCACTGGGCATAGCATCCCCATCCGGTGGGGCCCCCAGCTTCCCTGAGGCCTGGCTGCTCCTTGTCCCGGTCCCCGGCGCCCCTTTTTGGCTTCCTCCCTGCGCTCGGAGCTGCTCCATCCTCTTGCCTGCTGGCGCAGACTGCAGCCAGGACACTCTGCCCTTGGGCCCTTGGCTTCGGAGTTTCTGGCTCTGTTGGGGGGGGGTCTGTGGCTGCCACTAACTCTGGTCTCTCCGTCTGTTTTTTTGTTTTGTTTTTTTCTTCTCTCTTCCTCTCCTCTACGCCTGCTGGCTTCCCTGTTCTCCCCCTACCTCCCTCTTTCCCTCCTTTCCTGACCACCCTGTTTTCCCTCTGCCGTTCCCCGGGGGAGCCCAGGTGAGGACCTGGAAAGAAATGACGGCTCTCAGGAGCGACCCTACTTCATGTCGCCCGAGCTCAGAGACATCCTGTTGAAGGGGAGTGCGGAGGAGGGGAAGCGGGAGGAGGTCGAGGAGTAGAGAGTGAGGGAGGCTGGCATGGGGCCTGGTTTCCTCCCTGTAGATGGGGCTGCATGTGGGGGGAACTTCCTTGCCTGGGTGTGCGGTTATCCCGCCCGATGGTGTGCATCCCCGGGAGCCCGCCGTGGTCTGCCCATCTCTGGTCCTAGTGTGTCGCTTCCTAACCCTCTGAGGCTTCTCTGTGGCCCTCCTCCTCCTGCCCTGTCCCCAGAGATCCCTGCCCATGGGCTCCCCTCACGCAACCTGCTCTGGGGACTCTCTTCACAGTGGAGGACCTCGAGAGGAACGATGGCTCTACCGAGAGACCTTATTTCATGTCTTCCACCCTCAAGAAGCTCTTGAACAAGACCAACAAGAAGCTCGGGGAGTCCTGAAGGCCCGCACTCCCCCACCTCCTGGGGGTCTCTACCCAGTATCCTGTCACTGCCGCTCTGCTCCCTCCCCATGAGCCGGTTCCCATCAGTTTCCAGGGACCCAGAGGACAGGGCATCTCTCCTTATGCCAAGGGGCACTTGGAGTGTTCACAGCAGCCCCCACAGCTGCAGAAGGATCACTCTGGCCCTCACTGGCCTGAGGGGAGAAATGTGGTGGGGCCTTGGATGGCTGGGATGGGATGTGACCCGACCTCCGCAGCCTCCCTCACACTTCGTCTCCCTCTTACTGCAATGGGACAGAAAAAAAGGGGAAGGACCGACCATGTTTGTGTCTGAGGCAGCCGCGGGCCACAGTGAACATCCCTGTTTGCTTCCGCCTGTTCCGGCCAGGACTGCTCTCCACAACCGAACAATTGGCTCAAGGCCGCCACGAGCATTTCTTTATTATTATTTTTTATCCAGGACATGCATTAAAGGGGCTATTAGCTTTTTTCCATCTGTCTCAGCAATGGAGACCGCCCACACAGGAGTGCCTTCCTTTGCCCGGTGGGGCTGGGCTGGGCTGGGAGTGTGTGTGCCCAGTGGGGGTGTCTCCTGACTGGGGAGGCATCTGTGGGAGGGGAGGGAGGGAGGGAGAGGGACTTTTGGGGGCCAGCGAGGGGCCAGCGGGTGTGGCCAGGCTGGGACAAGATCGCTAATAGCCCTTAGTGGATGCCTGTCACCTGGCGGACTGCCTGGTGGGGGTGGGCCGAATTCCTCCCCCTTCCTCTGCCAGTAATTGACACAGCTCTCTTTGTAAGAGAGGAAAGAAACTGAATCCACCCTCGGGATGATTTAAGGGGGAGCGTAGGGGCCAGATGCCTGGTCACCTCACCTTGGGGTCCTTTTGCCAAACTTGCTGAACTCAGGGGATCTGGTTTCTCGGTTCCCCCTTTGCCATATCCCAAGCCCCCCAACCCGCCACCCCGACTTCATGTCTGCTCCTCAGTATTGCCCCAGGATCCCAGGGAGGGAGAGTCCCCCACCTGGGGTCTCCGGTTTCCTGTGCCTGCCGCCAGCCCTGTTCCCACCCTGTCTGCACACCCTTGCGTGTAACTGCATTCCAACCACTAATAAAGTGCCTATTGTATAGGGCAGGCCTGGCATGTCTGTGGGGGGCTCGGTAGGGGGAACCGTGCTTCCAGGGCCCTGGAACTTTCAACTCGAGTGATTCTTTGAAAGGGAAGAAGGAGAGTGGACAGGAAACCGGATGGCTGCTGGGTCTGCCTGGTATTCCAGCATTCAGTCTGCTCGGGTTTCTCCTAAGGGCGCCTGGAGAACAAATGCCCTGATTAGGCTCTGATTCCTGGAGTCCAGGAGGCAGCAGTGGCTTGTCCACCTCCTGGGTCACATGTCCTGAACACATGCCCCAGAGACCAGACCCTTGAGGCTCCCGGCCCCTCCCCAGCTCGGATCTGCTCAGCCTCCTGGAGACTCTCTGCTGCCCCCTGGTGCCAGCTGTCTGCACCCGTGGTCTCAAGGCTGTCTGCCCACGATGTTAACTGCTTTTCCCCACTTCCTCCTCTCTCCGAAAATTTTTACTTCAATAGCCACTTTTTTGATTGGGCTGGGTGGCTCAGCCTGTAATCCCAGCGCTTTGGGAGACCGAGGCAAGAGGATTGCCTGAGCCTGCGGGTTCGAGACCCGCCCGGGCAACTTGGCGAGACCTCGTCTCTACAATAAATCAAAAATTAGCCAGGCGTGGTAGCATGCATCTGTAGTTCCAGTTACTTGGAAGACTGAGGTGGAAGGATCGCCGGAGCCCAGCAGGTCGAGGCTGCGGTGGCCGGGAGCAGCTACTGCACTCCAGTCTGGGCGACAGAGTGAGAATCCAACTCAAAAAAAAAAAAAAAAATAGCCACCTTTTTTTTTTTTTTTTTTTAAATGATCCGGGAGCAGTGGTTCACTGTAGTCTCATGCTTTTGGAGGCCAAGGTGCTTCAGGTCAGGAGTTCAACCAGTCTGGGTAACAAAGTAAGACCCCCCCCATCTCTACAATTTTTTATTTCAATTAGCTGGTGCGTGCCTGTAGTCCCAGCTACTCAAGAGGCTGAGGCAGGAGGATTGCCTGAACCCAGGAGTTCATGGTTACAGTCAGCTGTGATTGTGCCACTACACTCCAGCTTGAGCCACAGAGCAAGACCCCATTGCACACAACTCCTCACTTTTTGTAACTCCTTAATTTACCAAGGATGAGGTCGGGCTCGGTGGTTCAGCCTGTAATCCCAGCACTTTGGGAGGCTGAGGTGAGTGGATTGCCTGAGCCTGTGCTCAAGACCAGCCCTGGAAACTTGGTGAGACCTTGTCTCTACAATAAATAAAAAGTTAGGCAGGTGTGGTAGCTCACGCCTATAGTTCCAGCTACTTGAAAGACTGAAGTGGAAGGATCGCCAGAGCCCAACAGACTGACAACTCAAAAATAAATAAATAAAAATTTACCAAGGATGAAGCCAGGCTTGGTGGCTCAGCCTGTAATCCCGTGCCTTTGGGAGGCTGAGGTGAGTGGATTGCCTCAAAGAAAAAAAAAAAAATTTACCAAGGATGAAACAAGACAGGAAGCTTTGGCGATGTGTCTAAATATTGCCAAGCTAGAAATAGGCCGAGATGGCATTTGAACCCGGGTCGCCTGGGCTCCAAGGCCATCAGCTTCTACCCCGTCCTGTCACTGACCCCTCTCGATGCCCTTGTTCCACTGGATGCCTTGAATCTGGCATTTTCTTTGCCCTCAGCTCCTGTTAGCCCTGTCCATTTTCTTTTCTTTTCTTTTTTTTTTTTTTTTGAGTAGGAGTCTCACTCTGTCGCCCAGACTGGAGTGCAGTGGCCGCTCCCGGCCACCGCAGCCTCGACCTGCTGGGCTCCGGCGATCTTTCCGCCTCAGCCTTCCGAGTAGCCAGAATTACAGACATGTGCTACCACGCCCGGCTGATTTTTTGATTGATTGTAGAGATGAGGTCTCGCCAATTTGCCCAGGTGGGTCTCGAACCCGCGGGCTCAGGCAATTCACTCACCTCAGCATCCCAAGGCGCGGGATTACCGGCTGAGTCACTGAGCCCGGCAACCCTGCCCACTTTCAAACATCTCCTAAGCCCACCCACTTCTCTCACATTTTCAGTTCCCAGGCCCCATAATCACTCAGCTGTGGCTGTGTGTGCAGTCCTGCCACCCTGGTCCCAGACTTCTGTCTCCCTACGTGCACATACTGTTTGTTCCCCCAGAGGGGCAGGAAGGCCCCTGTGAACACTTGAGTGAGGTCATGTCCCTCCTCTGCTCAAGAACCCTCCATAGCTCCTACCTTGAGCAAACGGCAAAGTCCTCCAATGCAGCCCACGGGTCCAGCACCATCTGCTCCATCACCCTCCCCACCCTTATCTCCTCCAAATCTCCCCCACACTGTCTTGCTTCACTCCTCCAGACCCCAGGGCTTGTGTCTGAAATACTCTCCACTTGCTTCTCTTCCCGGCTAGCTCCTCACCTTTCTGCTTTCAGCTTGGGATCACTTCCTCCAGGAGGCCTTTCCCATCCATCTAAAGTCGGTCTCTAGTGGGCATGGTGGTGCGTGGCTATAATTTCAGCTACTTGGAAGGCTGAGGCGGAAGGATCACCTGAGCCCAGCAGGTCGAGGATGCAGTGGCCGTGAGCATGCCGCCGCACTCCAGCCTGGGGGACAGAGTGAGACTCCGACTCAAAAATAAAAAAAAAATAATAACGTTGGCCTCTCTGGGTGGGTGACTATATCACCCTGCCAATTTTTTTCCCTGGCCGATGCTGCAATCTAGAATTACTTAATTTAATTGCATTTCACTTGCTGTCAGCCTCCCCAACTAGAACATCAGCTCAAAAAGGACACTGACTTTGTCTCTTGCTTACCACCTTATCCCAGGGTAGGGCAGAGTGCCTGGTACACAACAGGCATACATTATACGCACATGGAAGAGCTGGCTAAATTAATGTAAAGGGTTTAGCACCTGGTCCCAGGAGACAGTGCATAGTGTTATCAATTGTTATGTATTAGTTACACTTGCATCTAAGCTCCCAGTATTTTTTCTTTTTCTTTTTTTTTTGGGTCGGAATCTTACACTGTCATCCAGGCTGGAGTGCAGTGGCATGCTCACGGCCACTGCAGCCTCAACTTCCTGGGCTCAGGTGATCCTTCCGTCTCAGGCTTCCAAGGAGCTGGAACTATGGAACTACAGGTGTGTGCCACCATGCTTGGCTCATTTTTTGATTTATTGTAGAGACGAGGTCTTGCCAAGTTTCCCAGGCTGGTTTCGAGCTCCTAGGCTCAGGCAATTCTTTCCCCTCAGCCTCCCAAAGTGCTGGGATTACAGGTGTGAGCCACCACACCTGGCTCTTTTTAAAACTTTTTTGAGTTGGAGTCTCACTCTGTCGCCCAGGCTGGAGCACAGTGGCACCCTCACAGCCACCACAGCATTGACCTGCTGGGTTCCAGTAATCCTTCCGCCTCAGCTTTCCAAGTTATTAGAACTACAGGCACGTGCTACCACACCTGGCTAATTTTTTTTTATTTATTATAGAGATGAGGTCTCACCAAGTTGCCTGGGCTGGTCTTGAACCCATAGGTTCAGGCAAACCACTCACCTCAGCCTCCCAAAGTGCTGGGATTACAGACTGAGCCACTGAGCCCAGTCTTTTTTTTTTTTTTTTTTGAAGAGACAGGATCTCACTGTGTTGTTCAGGCTGGAGTGCAGTGGTGCAATCACAGCTCACTGTAACCTTGATCTCCTAGCCTCAAGCAATCCTCCCACCTCAGCCTCTTGAGTAGCTGGGACTACAGGTGCCCATCACCATGTCCAGCTAATTATTTAAATATTTGATAGAGATGGGATCTTACTATATTGTCTAATCTAGTCTCAAACTCCTGGCCTCCAGCAGTCCTCCCACCTCAGCCTCCAAAAGTACTGGGACTATAGGGGTGCGCCACTATACCCGGCCCAGCTCCCAGTCTTTTATTGTGCACTGGCAACCCTATACTGTTATGTGCAGAGATCCTACAACACAAGTGTAGAAGCAAGGAGACCAGCACCAGGGTACTGCACTGGTCCAGGCAGGCGCTAATGGTGGACTGCACTCAGGTGTTAATGGTAAAGATGATTAAAAGTGCTCAGATTTTGGATATGATTTGAAGAGGGAGCTGACATAATTGATTCCTGTGAATGTGATAGAAAGAGGCTGAGACAGGAAAAGCCAGGTGGAGGAGCAATGTCAGACAATATCCCTCAGAGGGCGCCCGCCACCCGACCCAGCCATGCGCTCTGGCTAAGTCAGGTATCCTGCACTAAGTCATTTACAAAGGCTGTCTTGGGGGACATGGACTCCCAGGTACTTCAGATTCTTTCAGAGTGTAGGAAGGATCACCTGAGCCCAGGAGGTCGAGGCTGGGGCGAGCCATGATTGTGCCACTGGACTCTGGCCTGGGAAAAAGTGGGACCCCCAACTCAAAATAAAGAAAGAAAGGAAGGAAGG